AGTCTGGGTATTACCGCCAGGCCCCAGCCCAGGTTCACCAATTCCCCTCTTCTTGTGAAACTGGTCCAGGTAAGAAGCCTCAAACCTCCCTTTTCCTGTGTAGTTAGGATAAGTGTGAATGTTTCGAGTACTTTTCAGCCAGGGAGGCCCAACTAAGAGGCCCACCTCACAATTACTGGGCCAGGGATTAAAAAAGCTCTAGGAGAACCACATTGAATTCTGGAAGGAGAGCACCTATGCCAGTGTGCCAGCTGCCCACCTTGCTTAGAGTAGAGCCAAACCTGAGAGCAGTGGCCACAGGGAGGGGTGAGGAAAGCTTCAGGGTGGAGGGAGCTATGGACAGTGCTGGGGAAAGGTTCTCTTATCAGCCATGGGGAGGTAGCTCTGTTGAGCTATCACCAGGGGCACCTGGGTTCCACCCCCATCCTCTCACCACAAGCTTCTGTTTCCCCCACAGGCAGCCCTTCTGGACACTGCATGATCACAGGAGCAGCCCTCTGGCCCATAATGACAGCCATCTCTTCCCAGGTGGCCACTCGGGCCCACAGGTACACCTGGGCATTGCCCACCAGTGGGGTCAGAGGCAATGGTACCCTGGACCCAAAAGGCCCAGCAACAGGGCAGCTTGGGAGCTGGAGTTCTGGAGACCCTGGGCATTTGTGCTGTGAGAAACTAAACTGTATCCAGATATCCCCTAGACCAGCGGTCGCCAACCTTTTGCACCTCACCACCGGTTGGCGACCATTGCTCTAGACCAGGGGTCCTCAAACTATGGCCCGCGGGCCACATGCAAATACAAATATTGTATTTGTTCCCGTTTTGTTTTTTTACTTCAAAATAAGATATGTGCAGTGTGCATAGGAATTTGTTCATAGTTTTTTTTTTAAACTATAGTCCGGCTCTCCAACGGTCTGAGGGACAGTGAACTGGCCCCGTTTAAAAAGTTTGAGGACCCCTGCTCTAGACCAGTGGTCGGCAAACTGCGGCTCGCGAGCCACATGCGGCTCTTTGGCCCCTTCAGTGTGGCTCTTCCACAAAATACCACGTGCGGGCGTGCACGTACAGTGCGATTAAAACTTCGTGGCCCATGCGCAGAAGTCGGTTTTCGGCCTGAGCGAGTCTATTTTGAAGAAGTGGCGTTAGAAGAAGTGGGGGGTGTCGGTCAGTCGGTCAGTCAGGCGATGGGAGACGCAGCACAGGCGGGCCGCGGGATACCCACAGCAGGGGAGGTACATTGTTTTGAGGTACATTCACTGAGGTTGACCCCTTCCAACTCTCCCATCCACACTCGTCTATCTGAAACAAGTATACAAGATGAGTGTGGATGGGAGAGTTGGAAGGGGTCGACCTCAGCGAACGTACCTCAATCAGATTGAGGACGTTTTTAGCAAAGGCCAGCTTAGGAGTACCCTAATTAAGTTAATAACAATGTACCTACCTATATAGTTTAAGTTTAAAAAATTTGGCTCTCAAAAGAAATTTCAGTCGTTGTACTGTTGATATTTGGCTCTGTTGACTAATGAGTTTGCCGACCACTGTCCTAGACCACTGGTCGGCAAACCACGGCTCGCGAGCCACATGCAGCTCTTTGGCCCCTTCAGTGTGGCTCTTTCACAAAATACCGACTTTTGCGCATGGGCCACAAAGTTTCAATCGCACTGTACATGCGCGCCCGCACATGGTATTTTGTGGAAGAGCCGCACTGAAGGGGCCAAAGAGCCGCATGTGGCTCGTGAGCCACGGTTTGCCTACCACGGCCCTAAACCATTTGCCTCTCTTCTTTCTAGCCGCTGGGTGAGGGTGATGCCAAGCCTGGCTTACTGCACCTTCCTACTGGCTGTCGGTCTGTCCCGAATCTTCGTCTTAGCACATTTCCCTCACCAGGTGTTGGCTGGCCTGATAACTGGTGAGCAACTGGAACAGGATGGGCCCAGAGGGTGCTGTCGGCAGTGGGAAGACCAATCTGTTTTGCCAAACTGCACTGTAGCTCAGGGTGGGTCATGTCCCCAAACACATTGAAGCTGCTGTCACCCCACTCCTTCAGGTGCGGTCCTGGGCTGGCTGATGACCCCCCGGGTGCCCGCACAGCGGGAGCTAAGCTTCTACGGGTTGACTTCTCTGGGCCTCTTGCTGGGTGCCAGCCTCATCTATTGGATCCTCTTTACACTGGGCCTGGATCTTTCATGGTAAGTCCTGCATTAAAGCCTGGGCAGGCTGGCCTGTCCTGCCTTGCCTGTACCTGGCCTGGTGGGTCTCTAGTTCACTATACTAAGAAAGGCCACATTACCTGTTCACAACCATAGACTGTCCTGGGGTCTCAGAAGAATATGGGGGTGGAGTAGGCCCCAATGGGGATGAGAGCCATTGGCTCTCTAGGTTCTAGGCTAGGGGATATCTCTCCTGGCAAAGACTTTCCCTCCCAACAGGTCCATCAGCCTAGCCTCCAAGTGGTGCGAGCGGCCTGAGTGGGTGCACATGGACAGCCGGCCCTTTGCCTCTCTGAGCCGTGATTCAGGGGCCGCCCTGGGTCTGGGCATCGCTCTCCACTCTCCCTGCTATGCCCCAGTACGGCGAGCACACCTGGGAAATGGACAGAAGATAGCCTGCCTTCTGTTGGCCATGGGGCTGCTGGGCCCCCTGAATTGGCTGGGCTACCCACCTCAGATCAGCCTTTTCTACATCTTCAATTTCCTCAAATATACCCTCTGGCCATGCTTGGTCCTGGCCCTTGTGCCCTGGGTGGTGCTCACATTCAGTGCCCAGGAAGCACCACCCATCCGCTCTTCCTGACTTCAGGTACCTCCTTCAAAGCCAACACTCCGTGACCGCCACACTCCAGGAGGCAGCCCCATCCTCTTCCAGCCCCCCAAAAGGCCCTGCTCATTTGAATTTCCCACTTCTCCCACCACCTGGCTTAGCGCCAAAGAAGGGCCTTCCCTTTCCCAGAAAGGCTAGCTCTCCTCCTGCCCTCCTTTCCAAGTCCCCAAAAAGCAAAGGCAAGAGCAAGACCAGTGGGTTCCTGCAACACTGTGAGGGGCTCAGAGTGGCCCCAATAAAGCCCTTAAACACTTCTGGACTCTCTTACCTACGTGTACATGTCCACTAAACTTGTCCGTGTGCACGCAAGTGGGATCCTGGCTGGGCCGCCTGTTCTCCACCCCATTCCAACCCTGTTGCCACGGAGGCAGAGAGTCAAAAGGAGAGGGGAGGCTGTAAATTCATTTGAGACCTTCAGCCCTGGGCACCATCACCACCTCGGCCATATGAGAGGTCTTATGTGGTGCTGTGGCTACCTTCAGTGAAACCTTGTCTTTAACCTACTGGACAGAGATGCACCCAGCCTCCTGTTTCCTAAGCTGGTTAGTCCAGGGGCTGGAGAGAAGAGCAGTTTTTTTGGCCAAGAGGGGAAACAAGAACCTCTGCTCCATTTGGGAGCCCAGAAGACAGAGACACTGGCTCTAGAAGGCACTGCCAGAAACAAATTTATTTACACAAGGACACACAATGTTATGGGTTACAAAATACTTGAACTGGAAACCATATCTAGGAGACAAAGCAAGGAGTGGGTTTACATGAGAACCAGACCAGCCACGGGAAGATGGGAGGTACAGGGTCCAGAGCTGGGGCTCAGCATGGGGAGGCCTGACACTGAGCCCAGCCCAATCCCCATCCCCCAGGAGGACCTAGGACACACAACACGTAAGACAAGTGCACAGTGGATTGATGGTGGTGGGACTCCTGCCCCTCCCCTGACTCCCTCAACCCTGCTCAGACCCCGTCAGGGTAATTAATATGTAAACAGATTGGTGGGGCCCAAGGATGGGAAGAAAAAAAGAGTATGTGGTATTGGAAGGAGGAGAGAGGAAGACTCACCCCCTAGGAGCCACTTCCCATCTTTGGTTTCCTATAGGCTGGACAGCATTCCCTAGAAGCCTTGTGGGGCCCCAGCCCCAAAAATGGGACTCGGCTGGGCTTCTGGGAAAGAGAAGGGGCGGCGCCCCCTCCGATCTTAGCTTCCTTGGGCTGGTGGCCCACACGGAAGCCCAGGAGGAATGGAAGCTCCAGCTGAGGGCAGACTTCCGTGTTTCTGGTTCTGGCCCTGACCCTTCTAGAGCCCCCATTCTCACCATCCCCAGGCTTCAAAGCCAAAGGTCCCAGGAGAGAGGTGGGCCACGAACCCTCTGCCTGCAGCATGCTGGGTGACTAGGGAGATCTGGTCCTGAACAGCAGGGGCACTCTCACCAGCTTACAGTGCCCCCTGCAGGGACCACCTTCTTCCCCTCCCCAGTCTGTGCCAGCAGAGGGGCAGGAAGGCCAACAGAGTCAGTTGGAAAGCAGGCCTGGAGCTGAGGCTCTTCCAGGCCCCTCATAACCCAGGCGTCCAGCCCCATCCCTCCCCGCCCACTCCGGCCCCTGGAAGGGGAAATAGCCCCTAAGGAATGTAAAGCAAGACAGCCCTGCCCACAGACTCCAGGCCCACATCCCAGGGCATCAGCCTTCCCTTCGGCGCTGAGGCCAGGAGAAAGGCGGAGGAGAAAGCCATCTGTGCAGAGATGGTGAGGACAACAGAGTAGGGGAGAGGGTGGGGAATCGTTGGGCAGGAGCCCACCTCCCATCCACTCTACATCCTAGACGGTAGAGAGACCCTTCAGGACCTCCCAAGGCTAGAGAGGAGGGGGTGAAATTAAGGCATTTCCCCCCCAAGTCAGCTGAGACCAAGGCACCAAACTTCCTGTTCCGTCCTCACTCAGGGAGACTCCAGAAACAAAAGGTACTGTCTGGCCCCGTCCCCACCTTGAGCTGGCCCAGGCTCCAAGGGGGAAAAGGATAGAATTTGGGAAAGTGGGTGTTAAATACCACATGGGGAGAGGCTGCAAAAGGTAGCTCCATAACCTACAGAGGAAGCAAACTTCTAGAGCTGAGATGTGGGCTACAGGGGAGGGGGCCTGAGACAGAGGAGCAGGAGGGGCGAGGCTGAGAGACCCACACGGCACACGTCATTGAATGTGTGACTTTTTGTTTTTAATAGAAAAAATAAACAAAATCACAATGATGAAGCCCAGAGGACAGGGCCGGGGCGTCATAGGGCAGGCTCCTGCTCCATAGGTTCCTCTGCTGGCCTGTGGGGACAAGCACATGGAGGGGCACTGAGTGGGGTCCTCGGCGTGGGGGAGGGCAGAGGTGGGAGGAGCCTCACCTGGGGCTGTGCTCCCTGGCTGCCGCAGCCTGGGCCTGCTCGGCCCCCATGGACAGCAAGGCCATGGCGCTCACTGTCTCGGCCTCCTCCGTCTCCCCCGCCTGGGCCTCCCGCAGGGAACGACCCAGACCAGCAGCAAACCTCTGCACACAACTCCAGTGTTTGCCTGTGGGTGAGAGATGCGCAGGAGGTCAGGGAGGGCAAAAACCGCCCTATGAGTTTGTTCACCCCCAGCCCTGGCACACCCCTCAGCTCCGCCCCGCTGGTAAGGTCTGAGCCCCTCCACTTGTCCCCACGTACTCTGGATCTCGATGACTTTCTCTAGCGTGGCCACTGCGTTGATGTTGGGCTTTTGCTGTAAGACTGTCTCATCCAAGGGCTGTAGCTGGCAGTAGAAAGAAGAGAAGGCTTAGGGTGGGGAATGGGTGGTGGTGCCTGCACCTTCTAACCACCCCATTCAGCCTCAGACATCTCTCAGGATAGGAGGAACCCCACTCAGAAAGTTCTTCCTGGCCTCTAGCTGTCCTCAGGACCCAGGAAACCTTCCCAAGGGCCCTCGGTACTGCCTGACCCAGGAAGGGGCCCTTCCTCCCAGCCTCTCCGATGCTGGCCTACTGGCCCACACCCCCAGCCCCTCCCTCCACCCCTCACCTCCACGCTGAGCAGAGCCGAGACACAGGCCTCAGAGGCATCACAGATGGCGGTCAAGTCGTGGCCTCCCTCCAGGGCCAGCACCACCCGGCCCCCTGCCAACGTCATCAGCTGCCTGGTCAAGTGGCCAAAACCTTTAGGGATGAGTGAAGAGAGATGAAATGGTAAAAAAAAAAAAAAAGAATTCAAGAGAAGGTAAGAAAGGAGAAGTGGGAGAAACAGCACAAAATAAGATGGAAGCCTTAAACTCAAATGTGTGTATGTATCAATAATAAAATTTAATGCCAATGGACTAAATGCTCCATTAAAGACAAAACATAACAGACAAGCTTAAAAAATGCAATCAGATGTCTTTTAAAGAACACCACTCAGAGAGGATGGATCAACAAGCTCCACGCCGAGGACTCCGGGAGGAGATACACCCTCTGCTATTCCCCCCACCTCCCTCCTTGCTTGCCTCTCAAGGCCAGGATTGGCAGAGGGAGACTAGGGGCACTGCCAGGATTATTGCAAGTCTTGGACCTGCCCCAGCTCTCCTCCCACCTGTGCAGTATCAGTCTATACCTGCTCCACACCCCCACTTGACCCCATCCTTACTGTCCCACAGCCTCCCTTCACCCCCCAGCAGGCTCACATCTGGCGGTGACAGAGTAGCCACCCAGCGGAGACAGGTGTCCCTCAACAGCATCAAACCCGGCGGAGACTAGGACCATGTCAGGTGAGAACTCGTGGGCAATGGGCATCACCACTGTCCTGCAAAGGGAGGGCCCAAGCTGACCCTGGCAGGAGGCTGAGCCAGGCCTCGCCCCACTGTGCCCCCCAAGACAACCCCCTCCACCTACACCAAACTGAGTGTCTCTACCCCTCCCACGGCAGGGCCCGGGGGCTCCCACCCCTCCCTTGGCCCTTCTCAGTCTTCACCTGAAGGCTGTTAGGTATTCCACGTCTCCGATGGGGGGGTCCACACCTCCCGTCCATGCCACGTTCACATTGTACCCCATGCCCGGCCCTCCGCCAACCTGGCAGCATGGTGGGGGAGGGGTTATTCTCACTGCCTAGGCATCCCAGAAGTTGCCCCCACCCTCAGCCCTACCTCCAGCCCTCACTCCACTGACCTCTGCTCTGCATGGAAGGGCAGTTGGCCGGTGTGGTCCTCCCACTAGGAGCCCAGACTCCCCAGGTACCAGCACCACCAAGGGCCTCCAGGACTCCCTGCCAGGTCCCATTCTGCTACCTCCCCAAGGGGCCCCACATTTGGGCCCAGGAGCGGTACCTCTTCAGGAGCCCCGGAGCCTGGAAAGAAGTTCCCATTGTCATAGCGATGCAGGGAGATGTAGAGCACGGAGGGGTCATTGTAGAACGCTTGCTGGGTGCCGTTGCCATGGTGAATGTCCTAGTGGGAGGAGTGAAAGCGTCAGGAAAATGGCCCGGGCTCCCAAAGGTAAAAATTCCACTTGTCACCCCTCCCCCCCGAATATGGTGAGCCTGGGGTACAGCCCACCACTAGCTACAGGGCATCTGTGTTCTGTTCACAACAGTATCACCTCATGCTTCTCTAACTGGGCTCTGTGCAGGGTAGATGCAAAGCCATGAGGCGAATGTGGCTACTCTCCCCGAGGGCCCATTCTATACAACAGATGGAGGGCAACGTTAAGGCCAGTAAGCATTGGAGAACAAATAGATATAGCGCAACCCGCATGGCTCAGTGGTTGAGCATCGACCTGTGAACCAGGTCATGGTCCGATTCCCGGTCAGGGCACATGCCTGGGTTGCAGGATGGATTCCCAGCGCGGGGTGTGCAGGAGGCAGCCAATCAAATGATTCTCTCTCATTGATGTTTCTATCTCTCTCTCCCTTCCTCTCTGAAATCAATAAAAATATATTTTTTAAAAAAACACACAGATACATTCTGAAGAAAAATCCAACATTAACAATTTTTAAGCCAAAGTTGGTCTTCAGAGAGATGTCACCCTTGATGAGGATTGCTCATGGCTACTTCCCCAGCTCACAGGGCGTGGTGGGTGCCTTTCCCTCTGCCAAGAGAGACAGGGTTTGAGAAGCACTGTGTAGGAGCAAGAGTACAAGTGTTGGGGTCAGAAGGCCTAATTTGAAACCCAGTAGCAAACTCCCAAATAAGCGACCTTGGTTGGGTAAGTCACCCAGCAGCTCAGTGTCTCCATATATAGAAATGGACGTCCTAATTCTTCCTTCCTATATTAGGTGGCGTGAGGAACACTGTGCCGTGATATTACGGTGGTATTGGTCTCTACGGTTTAAGGTAGGAAGTCCTTTCAGTTACTTGAAGCTGCAAGGTGGGGGCCAAGATGGACCAGGGGCTAAAACCACTTTCGAGTCTCCTAGTGAGGAGGGAGTCCCAAGGAAATGGAGGGTTGGGCTAATTCTCCAGGTGGAAGATGTAAAGTAAGCCATCAGGCCCAGCTCCAGCGTGGGCACCCGAGGAAGAGGAGGCAGGGTTGGGTGGGGGCTTCCTGAAGGGTGACCCTGGCCCCGGCAGCTCACTGCTTACCCAGTCCACGATGAGAACCTTGCCCACGTTCAGCTTCTGCTGCAAGAGTTTGGTTGTGATGGCTACGGAGTTGAAGAAGCAGAATCCCCTGAGGGAAGGGGGAGAAAAAGGGCGGGGAGGTCAGTGGTTTGCTCCATGAGCAGGATACATGCATCACCTTGGTGAGGGGGAAAAGGGGTGAGGACTGCAGGTCTAGTGCAGGGCTGGGGTGGCACTCACATGGCTGTGGATTCCTCAGCATGGTGTCCTGGGGGCCGGATGATGGCAAATCCATTCTGAAAAGGTGCAGACAGGGGGACAGAGATAAGAGACAGACAGGCAGGCAAGGTGGCCACAGAGGGGTGGCCACAGAAAGACAGAAACATAAGCCAAGCAGGGAAGAAAACACAGGTCAGAAACATGTATCATACACACCTATGGCCAGCTGTGGGCCACGTGGGCAGACAGGCAGACCATCCCAGCTCTTGAGATGCCCATGAGAGCACCAGACACTAGTGCCACTTTGTTGGTCCCTCTTTACCCCTCATCCCCCAGCTGGCCTTAGAACTGTCACCTCCCCACCACTCTGGCACCTGAAAGGTGAGGTTGCAAAGGACCATGCCTTCCTGAAGGGAAAGCTAAGGCTGCCCCATTCTCAGCTCCTGAGGATACAAGACCAAGCCAAGCAGTGCTTAGCTCCCCCTGCCAGTACTCACCTTAAGTTCTCCAGCTGCCACCTTGAAAGCCAGCTCCACCAGGCAGCCCACCGCCATGCGCACGGCACTGGAGGAGTGCATCTCATTCCATACAGTGTCACTGTCCACCTGCAGGGGCAGGAGAGCAGGCTTCAGCGTGCCCCCTGCAGGGGGAGGGCAAGAATGGGGATGGGCACTTGGACAGCCAGCAGCTATGTTGGGCAGGAGGGAGGGGCCAAAATTGGGAGAACCATTCACCAACCCCCACCGGTAGGTGCCCTACTCACCCCGATACCCCCACAAGGCAGCATGGCGTACATCTTCTGGCTGATGGGGCCTACAGGGAAGAGAAACAGCTACTCCACTGCCAAGGCTGTAGGGTGGGGTGTGCAAGGGCAGTGAGCTCAGTCACAGAAAAAGACCCAAGCACACGACAGGCTTCTGCAGCCCATACCAGTTGAGAGATGTCTGTGCCCTGTTCTGGGGCTACATCCTGCCTCTGGGGCAGACAGCGGGGAGAAAGGGGCAGAAGAGCAAAACACTCCCCCATCACCAAGCCTGACCCCTCACCTTCCACTCTGCAATGCACTCCCACCAGCATGCTCTGCTGTCATATTCTACATGAACGGAGTCCCTTGGAGGCATGCAATACGGCACTGTCCCACCTCTGCCTTGGGGATGACCTGTGCTCAATAGGACCCATTTGCCTACCCTGGCCGAGCAGTTTTCCTGACAGCCCCCTATCCCACCCAGGCAGCGGACAAGGCCTGGCCCACACCTGCCCATCAGCCTGCTGACTCACCAAGCAACTTCTTGCTGTCCAGCTTCTGTCGGTTGAGGGGGCTGGTCCCATAGAGCAGGGTATGGTACTCAGAGTGCACCGTCTGAATCTCGTCCAGCGTGGCTTTCCGACCGCGGATCCGCTGGCAGGGGAGATGAGGAGAAGGGTGGCATGAAGGTCCAGCTCTCCCTGAAGCCCAGACCTGCTCTCTGCACCACAGCCTGGGGCACATGGAGCCACTTCTGACCTCAGGAGATCCAAAGGCTTTTGAGAAAATATAACCTGCCCCCGCCCCTGGGGACCGACCCTCCCCGCTTCAGTGAGGGGCCATAGGGGAAAACAGGCTGTGAGGGATGAGGGGACTGGCCCTGAGGTCAGGGGTTGTACAGAGACACGGAAAGAGGCTTCACCAACAGGGAGACAGAAGGGCCTTCGCTGGGTTTGAGTTGGGGGCTGAAGGAAGGAGGGGCTCCCTTACCTCACACTTGCTGAGCAGGCCCGTCTCCTGCAGCCGGGACCAGATGCTCTGGATCCGGCCGGCATGCTCAGGGTGCACGTGTGTGTTTCCGCACATGCACTGGTGCTTCAGCATGAATGTGTCATAAACCACGCCTGAGCCAGAGACATACCTGTCCGTCAGCTCTGCCCTGGGCCATGTGATCCTGGCCACCGCAATCCTTAGAAGAGCTCATTGAGCTCTCCCAGCCCACCCCGCCACCCTCCCACACACCCACCCCTCTTCTCTCCTCCTGAAGTTTTTTCCTCCAAGACTGCCTGTCCAAACCTCCTGCTCCTCAAACCTCAACGAGGCCGCCCTTGACACTCCCACTGGCTTTTATCTCTGCCCACTGTGCCCCTAGCACCGTACCCTCATGGCAGCCTCCTTTCCCCACTCCTGTCACAGCCCTTGTGTGCTGCTCCCCGACCCCACTCCCCACCTGTGGCCATTATCATCACTTCAACATATAGTCAGTACAAAGGTGAGACCATCCTCAGGCATCGGTGGCCCAGCACAGGGCGGCGTCAGTGGAAGGGCTTTCTAGAATGGACAGAGGCCCCACTCTTGCCCTCACCGGGAGACAGGGGAAGCTGGAAGGGCAGGATCCGACTGAGACAGTGGGCACTCTCCACCCACTGGAGGGCTTGTGCGGTGATAGCACAAAATCAGGGGGTCCCTCAGCAATAGTGGGTGGGGGCCCTGAAAAAGACGCGGCCCCAGTGGGTATGGACAGGGGATCACCACGCTCCCTTGCAGTGGGGCAGAGGATGCCCCCACTACCACAGGTGGCTGGTGGCGCACAGGGAGAGGACGAAGGCCTGTTTTCCCTCCCTGCAGGGCACTCTGAGGAGCCCTGGCAATCCCTCAGGGCAGGGACTGTATCTCTTCACGATTCCCACCAGGCTGAATGCCATCCATGCACAGGCCCCTGGCACAAGGAGGAAGGACAGACGGCAGTAGTGGGGCTCACCTGTGGTGAAGAGGTGCTTGGTGGGCTGGTCTGGGGGGCTCTTCATGCCCCCAGGAGCAGCAGGTGAGGACTGGGTTCGGCCCAGGGCCTGGTGGGGCACAGTGGACAGGCTGAGGGGTGCCTGGTACACCTGTAGTGGCTGCAGCTGCTGGGCATCTGAGAATACCTGGGAAGGAGGAGAGTAGGAGGGAGCCTAGGTGAGGCTTAGCCTGAGACAGATGTGAGGACAGGTATCCTGGGGCCTCCAGGAGGGTCCCCAAGCCAGCCCTTCTAAACCTTCTCTCCCCCCCCCCCGCCCCCTCCCTCCAAGAACAGAAGAAACTCTAGCCTTCATTGTCTCCTCTCCCAGGAGAAGGGGAGGGATGGGAGGACAGTGATGAGTCATGCCAGAGTAGCATTGAGGTAAGTGTGTGGGAGGGGTGGGATGAGTCAGGCCCCGAGGGCTCCGCTGTGGCCGCAATGAATGAAGTGCGCACTAGGCACAGGGCATACTGTAGTAACAGCGAGGGTGTGTGTACACACGCACACATGCACGCACAGGGACCAGCGCACAACCGATCCTACGCAGGCAGAAATGCAGATACAGCCACGTACGTACAAACACACACACAAGCAGACAGGCGGGGGCGGTCACAGACAGAGGCAGGGAGGGGCTGGCGGCTGGTATTGCCAGCCCTGAGACCAACACCAGCAGTCCCTCCCATCCACAGCTCCTTGTCTTTTCCTACTCTCTTCAGAAAGCTGGCCCTGCACAGCCTGGCACTGCAGACTGGGAGAGGGGAAGACAGGGTGGAGAGGAGGAAGGACAGAGGGATGGTGATCAAGGCCTGGGGGAGGGGGCACCTTTTTGTAACCAGTTCTGGACTCCTCCAAGTCAGGTCCCTCCTCAGCGCCACTCTCGCCCTCCTCATCCTTGACCTGGATGCAGTCCTCCTCCTCCTCCTCATCCTCCTCCTCCTCTTCCTCCTCCCCTTCCTCCTCCTCCAGGTCCTCCTGCGTGCTCTCACTCTCCGTGGAGCCTTCTCGGGGTATGGTGAGGGCTCCCTCCCCCAGCAAGGCCTCCTGCTGCTCTGTGAGCTCCTCTTCTGTCTCCTCGGGGTGGGTGGTGGGCTGTCGAGGCAGCTCCCCAGTCTTTGTGAGGATCTGGGAGGGTGCAGAGCAGAGAGAGCGCATCCGCTGGGAGGGGGAGCAGCCGTGCAATCTGTGGCCCAGGAGGGTCAACCGTTCCCTCCCCTCCCCCCTGCAGCCACCCAGCCCTTACAGAGCTATGTGAATTAGAAAAAGGCAAGGTGGCTCCTCTGAGCAGATATGGCACCAGGGAGTGGCCTAGGGTGTCAGCTCCCTCTCCCTTCCTGTCAGCCTGGTCCTGCCCCCAGCACAGCCCTGCACATTCGCTTCTCCCGGCTCACCTTGCCCAGCTGCAGCTGCTGCTGCTTCTGCTTCTCCAGGAACTGCTGGTGCTGCTGCTGCATGACCAGCTGCTGCAGGGCCTGGGGGCTCTGGGGTAGCGGCGAGGACTGAGTGCGGCTCAGGGGCCGGTGCCTCGGGAGCTTGCCCACCGTCCGCATGCTGGTAGCCACTCGCTCACCCGTCACCAGTGGGGACTGCCCGTGGAGCGGCACTGTCAGGTGCAGGGAGGGTAGTGACCATTATTGTCAGGCCCCTCATCCCATCCCAAAACCCTCCCCATCCTAAAACACCACCACCTATGCCCTCAGGAAAAACTGTGGAGGGGCCTGGAGCACCCTGCCCCCAAATCTGAGCCCCATTCTTCCTCCTCCCCATCATTAAACAGTCGCACAGCTAAGAGCCACTGCCTCCAGCAAGCCTTCCTGGATTCTCCATTCTCTCCCTTTGATTCACTCATGTTTGCACATACAGTCTTGGGCCCTCCCTGTGAGTGAAAACGACGACTAGTTCTTCTCATCTACAAGACCTCCCTGCTCATGAGCACGGATCCTGGGCTGGGAGCCCGGGAGCCAGGACCGCGTGTCTTTTAAGCAGAACCTCTTCTGATGCCACTGGCTACTTAAGGGCTGCCTGTCCAAAGCTGTGCTGTCCAATCCCACAGCTGCCAGCCACACGTGAGCACTGAGCACTGGAGCTGTGGCCTGTCTAAACCGAGATGTGCTCCGAGTGTGAAACACGCACAGGTCTCAGGAGAGTGTAAAACACAAACCAAAACATCTCACTGGTAACTCTTTGTATTGACTATATGTCGAAATAATATTGTAGATACAGTGAGTTAAATATATTATTAAAATTAATTCCACCTGTTTCTTTTTATATGTCTTAATGCGGCTACCAGAAAACTAAATAGCTTGTGTTATCTTTCTCCTGGACAGCGCGGCTCTGGAACGTGAGCGCCAGCACGGCCGCAGAGGTTGCGGAGCACAGCATCTGCAGGCTGCAGATTGTGGGGGAAATCAATGATGCCACTGAGGGAAGCTATGACAGGGCTGGAAAGAATCCTTGACTGCTTCTCAAGCATATCCCACTCCAGGGCACAGGTCTCTCCAGCCTGTCTACAGGGGAAGAGAGTCCCTGCTGGGCACTCCTGCCTTGAGCCCCAGAAGTGGGGCCTGACCCTCCTCCCTTGCACAGCTGCCTGCCCACTCACCGGCGATGAGGGTGCTCTGCTGCCGGGCCTGCTCCAGCAACAGTACGTGCTGCAGCAGAGAGGCGTGCCCGTGGGGGCTCGAGTCGCCCTCCAGTGTCACGCCCAGCAAGCAGCCGGGGATAGAGGATGTGCTCATGAACTTGCCGGTCAGTGCGCCACCCTGCCTCAGGGATTGAAGGGCCTGCCGCTCAGCCTCCTGCTGTGCTGACAGTTTCGGGGAGGCCTGGGGTGGAGAGGGGAGACCGATGAGGGAGGGGCTGATACAGCCCCGTCCTGTCAGCTCCAGACCGGCACCCCTCACCCACCCCTGCCCACCTCCCAGCTGAGGTGTCTCTGATCTCCCTCAGGGCCTGGAGGACCAAAGCTCTAGCTGGGGACATCCAGGACAAAAGAACCCAACACTGAGAGGACGGAGCGTGCCCATACTTACAGTGAGGTGCGAGTTGGTGACAGTGACTGTGGCCTGCAGCCCTAGGGAGATGTTGGGCAGAGAGGGAGACGTGTAGAGGCTGAACTGGTTGGGAGAGCTTTCCAGAGGGAGGGCCCGGTGCTGGGGGAGCATCTGGGGAGCAGTCGGGAGAGACAGGCATGAGCGCAGGCAAAGGGGGGCCACCTGGGGCTGAGACTGAGGGCTCTGAATGGTGCCCTGCTCCCCGCTACCAAGCCCCACCTGGGGACGGGCCAAGAGCCACAGCCCTTCAGGGACCCATGGGGCATATCCCACTCCAGGGCCCAGGTCTCTCCAGCCTGTCTACGTGGGAAGAGAGGTCCCTGCTGGGCACTCCAGCAAGACAGAGGGAAGGAGCCGCTGTCCTGCTTCCAAGGGAAAAGGGGTACCTCAGGCCCAGCCCCCCACCGCCCCACAGGCCTGTACCTCGGTGGGGATGTTGGGGACTGAGCCAGTGAAGCCGTTCTCAGCGATGGTGCTATGGGAGCTGTTGGGGGAGCTAGGGCCAGAGCCTGGCGCGCTGTTACACACGGATGACACTACGGGAGAAGTGGCTGTCAGCTAGGCCTTCTGGGAGCCACCTCCACTCCCAGGCCCTCAGAACAGGGACAGGAGAGGAGTCCTTACCGCCAGGCCCGGCACCTGTGATCTCAACAGCTCTCTTCTTAAAGGTGCTAATGACAGTCCCATCCTTCCGACGCAGAAGGGGACTGCTCCTCCGTTCGGCCACCTTCTGCTTTAGCCTTGAACGCACTTTCAGGTTAGGTTCAGAGGCTGGGGAGAAGGTGGCCAGGGCTCAGACACATCCACACAAATGGGCACACGCTACAGCCCCGCCCTCCTCCTCCCAGGAGCCATATTCTGGGAGGCCAGGCGGGGCCCTTACCTGTTTTGCGGAGGGGGAAGTCGTCGCGGCTGTCATAGGGCCCAAGCAAAGGCAGTTTGTAGGAGGGAGGCGTCCCAGGGGGGCCACTCTGGGGAGGGGAACTCTGGTCCAAAGAAGCATGGTGGGCTCCCCTAGGGGACAGAGACAGACCCTAAGGCATCACCTGTCACCTAGCATTCTACATTTATGAATACCCACTGTGTGCAGCGATAGAAAAATGGATCCTGATGAGGGAAGCGAGAGAAGCCAGGAGTGGGATTTCCTAGGAGGGACTGCAGGGCCCATATATGGCTTTAGGTCAGGGACCTCTTTCTAGCCTGCAGGCAGGCAGGCCCTGAGCAGGGCACCTTTGCGACCCATGCCGGCCAAGGGTCATTACCAGCATTTGGGATGCTGCGGGAGGGAATGGTTGAGGCCGCCTGGCGTGGGCTCCTTTGACTTCGACAGGAGGAATTCCTGGAGCCTCAGCTTCACCTCGGTGCTGGCGATGGCACCTGTGGGACAGGGCACAGCTGACCTGGGTGCTCGGGCCAGGACCCCACGGCCTGGGGGAGACGAACAGGAGTCCCGGCTGGCCCCTGGAGGGCCCAGGCCTTACTCTCTTTGCTCTTCTCCTTATTCCGCAGGATGAGCAGCTGCTGTTCCAGCCGCTGCTTCTCCAGCTCCTCTTGCCGCTGCTGTTCCCGCTGCCGCTGCTGCTCTAGCTCCTGCTGCCTCTTGGCTGCCAACATCTGCTGCTGCTGCAAAGGCACAGGGGCGGGGCAGGGGGAGGCAGGGTGAGCAGGTCCAGGCGGGGGTCAGAGGTCTGGGGGCCCCCCCGCACCCCCCTCGCTCACCTTGAGGTGCTTCTGCAGCTGGACCTCATGCTGCCGTGTCAGGTGGTCGTGCTGTTTCTGGAACTCAGCGAACAGGAGCTGCTTCTGCAGCTGCTGCTGCTGCTTGAGCGCCAGGAGCTCCTGCTGCAGCTGCTGCTCCCGCAGTGCAGGGTCCACAGAGCCTGCCAGAGCACCCCGCAGCTCCACTGGGCTGGGGCTGCCTCCACCCCCGCCACCCATGGAGCTGGGCATGGCTCCTGGCAACACCGGCTTCACCTCCACTGTGGGGAGAAGAGACAGAAAGGGGTCAGGAGGCCTGATCCCAGACCGCACTAAGCCCTGGCAGCCATGCCCGGCACCCAGAGAGCTATCAGGCAAGAAGGACGACTGGACCAAGAGAGAACAGAGAGATGGGAAGTCAAATCCCTCTGCTCTGGGGATACAACCTTCTGCCTCAGTTAAATGAGGTAGAACCCATACACTTCAATAAGAAAAGATGCATAAGCATGAAGCACAGTACCTCGAAGATTGTGAGTGCTCAACACGTGCTACTGTCATTGACAGTTAATGCCACTGGGTGTTTTATATGAATTACTTTATTGATGAGGAAACTGAGGTTTCAGGAGGTTTAACTAATTAATATGACCACAGACAGACAGCCAGGTGACCGATGAACCAGGATATAACTCCTGTCCTTCCTGTGCCTCCTCCCTCACCTCTCACCACCACACACTCCCCACCAGAAAGTCTGTACTAGAAGAGACACTGAGGCACAGAGGCCAGTTCTAGAAATGACAGGACTGGCCGCCAGGGCCCTCAGTACACCCAGGAGAGGCCCTTGGGGACCCTCTAGACATCCCTACCCGCTTCCATTTTCTCTTCCCCACATCCAGCTATGGGAGCTGAAAGGAGAGGCTATGGGAATGGGGGTGAGGTGGAAGCAGGAGGCCTCGGGGGAAGGGGGTGCAGCGCTGCACCAAGCCAGGGACAGGAGGGGGCTGGGAATCAGACTGGCTTCCTTTGCTGGATTATCTCCTTTCAACAGTTTTATTGTAATTACCCTGAAAATGCCGCTATATATAGAGTGAGCCAAACAGCAGCTGTGCCTAGGGGGAGGAGGGAATGAGAGAATGGGAGAATAGGAGGGCAGGCACAGAGAGGAGGTGGGAGGAGGAGACAGGAAAGGAAGGGGAATCAGACAGGAAGAAGGTAATAGCAAGGGGGGGGGGGGGGAAGGGCTGGAGCTGAGGCAGAAAGCTCAGAATTCCAGTCCCAGGGACAACCTGCTGGGAAGGGAAAAGGAGTCCAGGGCCTGCTGGGTCCCAAGACCTTGGGTCCAGGCCCCCATATGGACAATGGGCTGATGGGTCCAGGGAGTGGCAGAAGGTTCCAATGGGAAGGCTAAGTCTCAACCTCTTGATCCCTAGACACACACTGTCCTCCGGTCACTGAATGTCACTTCCCATCACTGCCCTGTGGTTGCCAGGGCCAACACCGCACCAGCAAGGAGCCCCAACCCAGCCCACACCCCACAGAGCCTCCTGACGCCAGCGAAGGGAAGGCCGGCTACCACTGCCTGGGAAGGAGGAAGTGAGAGAGGCAAGGCCAACCCATCTTATTTCTTTTTCATTTCTTTCTCCAAAGAAAGCCCTCACTTTCCTCACTCCAGCCCCGGGAGGCCACAGGGAGTGGATGCCAAGGGCCCACTCCTGCCCAGGCCTGGAGAAGAAAGGACCCCAATATCCATGCGGCTGCCAGTGTTTCCTGCCCTCGTGAACAGGCTTCTGCCCAGGTTCCCCCCAACCCCTCATCAGGAGTACGGGGGGCGGGGGGGTGGAGGTGGAGGGCTGAGCTAAGAGAGGCTCCCACACCCTGTGCAGTCAGTCTATGGGCCTCGATCTGAAAGAATGTCACCAAGGCAGGGGCTAGGCCGGTTGACGACCCTCATGCCAGAATATGGCCTCTGGGATCCACTGGGGGAGGGGAGGTGAAGCCTGAGCAGAATGTCTCTCTCAGTCCCCATCGTCCCTTCTCCCCCAAGCACTGCGAGGCACATTCCTCTGTGGTTTGCCCGCCAGCCACACTGACGACTCTGCGGTCAGGAGGCCAGAGCCACATCTGTAGGAGTGGCCAGATGTGGCCAAGAGGGTGGGGCTACACACACACACACACACACACACACACACACACACTCATTACTTTTCCTCCTAACCCATGTTCTGTCCCAGCACCAGGACATTTCTGGAGGTGGCCGGCACCATCCAGGGTGCAAAACAGGGTGGCAGCAGCCAACAGCCAGCCTCAGGTCTCCTCAGCTCTGGAAACACCCAGCGAGGCCCCAAGCTGCCCTGGCCAGTGTGGCTCAGTTGGTTGAGTGTCGTTTCATGCACCGAAAGGTCGCTGGTTCCATTCTTGGTTGGGCACATGCCTGGGTTACCAGCTCGATCCCCTGTGGGGGCCTGCAGGAGGCAATAGATCGATATTTCTCTTTCTCCTCCCATCCTCTCTCTCTAAAATCAGTAAAAACTTTTTTAAAATGAAACTTTAAAATAAAGGCCCAAGCTGGCTGGGGAGTTATGTTCCTAGGTAAGCCTGGCTAAGCCCGGGACACTCCAGCCAAAGGTGGACAAGCTTCAACCCGCTGCTCCCAGCAGTGTTGGGGCTGCAGGAGCCAATGCCAGCCGCCCGCCCAGAGAAGGGCAGGGGTCCAAGTTCTCCTGGCTCCTGGCAGTACTGGCTTCCCTTGCAGGAGCCCTGCAGAGAGGGCATGGGCTCAGGTGAGGGGAATCTCCCACTACGGCTCCCTCACAGCCACCATCACTGCTGCCATCAAAATGACAGGCCCTGGGCTGCAGTTAGAGCTGCAGCCCCATTGGTATGCAGGTGGTGGGGCAGCCAGCAGGCTCCGGCACATAGCATTGTTCCCACGCAAGCAGGAAGCACGGGCGACTGGAGACTATTAATCTGCAGGCCCTGTGGAGCCTGGACAGGATACAGCACCCCAGGGGTCTGCCAGGTAGTTACCTGGCTCCATCCAAGATGGAAGGGGCTGCAGCTGAGCAGCTGGAATCAGAGAAAGGGTAGGGGGGGTAGGCACTGAGCCCTTGCATGTAGTCTGCTGGGCACAAGACCTGGGGCCTAATTGGCCTTGCACCCCCTCAAGGATCTGTGCCCTCTGCCAGACTGGCATGAGCAGAATAGGTGCAGTGGCTGCCCTCAGAACCAAGTGCCTGGAAGAGAAATGGGTGTGTCATGAGAAGAGGCTCTTGATCGCCTCCTGGAGGACCAAGAAAGGTGCGCGGACCTCTGGGAAGGGAAGAGAGTGGGCTGAAGGACACTGTTCCTTAAGAGGACAATTGGGAATTTGCCAGCAAGGAGACCACTGAGAGGCCAAGTGTGGGGTCGCGTGGAAGGGCAAGGCCCTGGGTCCTCCCTTCACCCCACTACTTCCTTCTGACAGAGAGCTGTAGGGAACAGAAAATAAGCCAGACAGCCTGCACAGCGATCTCCTACAGCCGGGAGCACTGTCTACCCTGCGCCAGACTCTCCTTCCTGGGGACTCTGACCCCTTCTCCTGGGAATGGTGGCCTTGGGAGCAAGCAGCTAGCACCATCCTGTCCTCTGGCCTTCTGCGGGCTTGACCAACACTACCCCTGTGGAGAAACCCAGCCAGGTAGCTGGGTGGGCAGGGCTGGATACTTCTAGCCATCACAATGACCCCACATATACCAAGCTCGGGCTCAGAAGCAACCTCCCTGCCCAGCTCCTGGGCACAACTGGGCAATGGCGAGACCTTAGTGACACTTTCTTCCCATCTAGCTGGGCCTCCTGCCTCTCCATGAACCCCTTTAGTCCAGTGGGGGCTCCCACAGCAGATTCTTTGGGCAGCACAACCAGGGATAGCCTAGATCCTTGGGGGGAGATAAGGCAGGTACTTAGGGGCCATCTTTGGGACAACTGCCAGCACGGCCTTAGACTACAAAGAGAGTGTCCAGGCCACGCCTTCCTCCTGCTCAGAACACACCACCGGCCATGCTCCAGCTCCAAGCCCTCTCCTGGGGACGTCACCAACTCCAGAATCCCCGTGGCCCAAACACTGGCAGCAGGGACATGGTGCCTTTCGTTTCCCTGGAGAAGCCCTGGAGGCCGCAGGACAGCACAGTGTATGGACCTGCCCGGCAGACCTAAAAAGCTAAACCGTTGGCTCTAAAGAGACCCTCCCCCAGGAAGTACCAGCCACAGAAGTCGGGGGAAGAAGAGGCGACCACGTGAATGTAGACTCTGAGGGAGGTGTGCACTAAGCTGTTTGGAATGTCTACACGGGACCAAAATGAGACTTTGCTGAGAAGCCCTGGATCTGAGGGGCTACCCTACGGAGAGAGGAGAGAGGGTGAAAGGGGCTTTTGAGATCATCTGTTTCAATCCCTTTGTTACACAGATGAGGAAACCAAGACTCTTAGGCTCCTGTGCAGGAAATTCCACCAGCTAAGGAGCAGGAACTCAAAACCAAGTGTCCCGACTCCCAGCTCAGGCAGCCTGTGCAGCGTCTACACACCAGCCTATGCAGCCCGGCTCCAGTGCGGGCACCCCAGGTGCTCAGCACCCCCAGACCTAAATAACGGCCCCTCTGGAGAGCAACAGGCTGGCAGGCTACCCTGGAGGGCAGCACCTCTACCAGCACCAGTACCCTCAGGAGCAGGCTGGGGAGTCAGCAGCTTCCTGAAATGTTTAATGACCTCACTCTGTCCCTCTGGAGAAGGGGAAAAGGCTCTTGTCCCTTTGCCGGTCTTGAGGGATTTTGGAAGGAGGCAAAGAACAGCATTTCACACTCCTCCCCATGACGCCGATGACCCCTCCCCACTAAGGATGGTTTCCCATGATCTATTTCTGTGCCCTTACGTGATTAGTGAGGCCAATTTAGGCTCAACAGGTTCTACCACAATTCAGACAGCATTTCCCCATGTGCAAACTGGGAGGACTCTCACCTAGCAATTTTCACAACGCCTCATGTAACACGCAGCACATAATGGGTAGGAACAAGGGCTGGAGTAAGAAGACCAGGGTTCAAGTCAGGCTCTGCCACCTCCTAGGACAAGGGACGGAGCACCTCCCTGTGCTCCATGCAGGCATCTGTGAAATGGGAGTAAGAACAGCACCTACCGCCCAGAGCTGTCGGGCGCACGAGAGAGAACACAGGCAGAGCGGCTTGGCACAGGGCCTGGGAAAATCTCAGAGGTGCTAGTCAGGGCTGTTATGAATGACTCCTGACACTTCCTGGACC